AACCACTCTCCCACTCACCCACTCACCACTCACCACAATCTCACACTCACCCACTCACCTCTCCCCACCACACCCCCACAACTCACCCACTCATTCACTCACCAACTCACCCACTCGCCCACTCACCAACTCACACCCTCACCCACTCACCAACTCACCTACTCACCCACGCCCCACCTTCATCACTCACCAACTCACCACCAACTCCCCACTCATCCACTCACCAACTCTCCCACTCATCCACTAACCAACTCACCCCTCACCCACTCACCAGCTCACCCACTCACCTACTCACCCACTCACCAGCTCTTCACTCACCAGCTCCCCACTCATCAACTCACCCACTCATCAACTCAACCACTCACCCACTCCCCACTCATCCACTCACCAACTCTCCCACTCATCCACTAACCACTCACCCCTCATCCACTCATCCACTCACCAACTCTCCCACTCACCCACTCATCCACTCACCAACTCACCCACTCACCCACTCATCCACTCACCAACTCTCCCACTCCCCACTCACCAACTCACCCACTCATCCACTCACCAACTCACTACTCACCCCTCACCCCTCACCAATCACCAACTCACCCACTCATCACTCACCACTCACCACTCACCCACTCACCCACTCACCACCAACCTCACCCACTCACCCACTCAACCAACTCACCCACTCACCCACTCACCAACTCACTACTCACCCACTCCCCACTCACCAACTCACCCACCACTCACCCATCACCCCAACTCACCCACCACTCACCCACCACTCCCAACTCACCCACCACTCACCAACTCACTCACTCACTCACACCAACTCACCCCACTCACTCACCCACTCACACCCACCACTCCAACCCCACTCACCCACTCACCAACTCACCTACTCACCCAATCGCCCACTCACCAACTCACCCCACCACTCACCCACCACTCACGCACCACTCACTCCTCACACCCCACTCACCCATCACTCACTCACTCACCCAACTCACCCATCACTCGCCCACCCTCACCCGTCCCCGTGTCCCCAGTGCATTGGGCGGCTGAAGCAGCTGGCCTACCCACCACCACCCATTCACCCACTCACTCACCAACTCACAAACTCACCCACCACTCACCCACCACTCCACCCCCACTCACCCACCTCACCCATTCACCCACTCACTCACCAACTACCAACTCACCCACCACTCACCAACTCACCCACTCACCCACCACTCATCCCACTCACCCAACTCACCCACACTCGGCCACCCACTCACCCGTCCCGTGTCCCCCAGTGCATCGGGCGGCTAAAGCAGCTGACTCTACCCACCACTCACCCATTCACCCACTCACTCACCAACTCACAACTCACCCACCACTCACCCACCACTCACCCACCACTCCCCATTCACCCACTCACTCACCAACTCACCCACTCACACACTCGCGCACCCACCACACCCACCACTCACCCATTCACCCACTCACTCACCAACTCACCAACTCACCCACCACTCACCCCCCACTCACCCACCACTCACCCATTCACCCACTCACTCACAAACTCACACTCGCGCACCCCCTCACCCACCACTCACCCATTCACCCACTCACTCACCAACTCACCAACTCACCCACTCACCCCATTCACCCACTCACCCACTCACTCACCCCCACTCGCCCACCCACTCACCGTCCCCGTGTCCCCCAGTGCATCGGGCGGCTGAAGCAGCTGACCTACCCACCACTCACCCATTCACCCACTCACTCACCAACTCACCAACTCACCCACCACTCACCCACCACTCACCCACCACTCACCCACTTCACCCACTCACTCACCAACTCACACACTCGCGCACCCACCACTCACCCACCACTCACCCATTCACCCACTCACTCACCAACTCACCAACTCACCAACTCACCAACTCACCCATTCACCCACTCACCCCACACTCACCCACCACTCACCCAACTCACCCACCACTCGCCCACCCACTCACCGTCCCCGTGTCCCCAGTGCATCGGGCGGCTGAAGCAGCTGACCTACCCACCACTCACCCATTCAGCCACTCACTCACCCACTCACCCACTCACCCACTCACCCACCACTCACCCACTCACCCACCACTCCACCGCCCACCCCTCACCCGTCCCCGTGTCCCCCAGTGCATCGGGCGGCTGAAGCAGCTGACCTACCCACCACTCACCCATTCACCCACTCACTCACCAACTCACCCACTCACCCACTCACCCACCACTCACCCACTCACCCACACTCGCCCACCCACTCACCCGTCCCCGTGTCCCCCAGTGCATCGGGCGGCTGAAGCAGCTGACCTACCCACCACTCACCCATTCACCCACTCACTCACCAACTCACCAACTCACCCACTCACCAACTCCCACTCGCCCACCCACTCACCACTCACCCACTCACCACCACTCGCCCACTTACTCACCCGTCCCCGTGTCCCCCAGTGCATCGGGCGGCTGAAGCAGCTGACCTATCCACCACTCACCAACTCACCCACTCACTCACCAACTCACCAACTCACCCACTCACTAACTCACCCACCACTCACCCCTCACCCCCACTCGCCCACCCACTCACCCGTCCCCGTGTCCCCCAGTGCATCGGGCGGCTGAAGCAGCTGACCTACCCACCACTCACCCATTCACCCACTCACTCACCAACTCACCAACTCACCCACTCACCCCCACTCACCCACCAACTCACCCACTACTCACCCACTCACCCACCACTCGCCCACCCACTCACCCGTCCCCGTGTCCCCCAGTGCATCGGGCGGCTGAAGCAGCTGACCTACCCACCACTCACCCATTCACCCACTCACTCACCAACTCACAAACTCACCCACTCACCCACCACTCACCCACCAACTCACCCACTACTCACCCACTCACCCACCACTCACCCACCACTCACCCATTCACCCACTCACTCACCAACTCACCAACTCACACTCACCCACCACCCACTCACCAACTCAACACCATCACTCACCCACCACTCGCCCACCCACTCACCGTCCCGTGTCCCCCAGTGCATCGGGCGGCTGAAGCAGCTGACCTACCCACCACTCACCCATTCACACCACTCACTCACCAATTCACCACCACTCACACACTCACCCACCACTCACCACTCCCCAACTCACACCCATCACTCACCCACCACTCGCCCACCCACTCACCGTCCCCGTGTCCCCCAGTGCATCGGGCGGCTGAAGCAGCTGACCTACCCACCACTCACCCATTCACACCACTCACTCCCAATTCACCCCCACTCACACCTCACCCCCACTCACCAACTCACCAACTCACACCCATCACTCACCCACCACTCGCCCACCCACTCACCGTCCCCGTGTCCCCCAGTGCATCGGGCGGCTGAAGCAGCTGACCTACCCACCACTCACCCATTCACCCACTCACTCACCAATTCACCCACCACTCACACACTCACCCACCACTCACCAACTCACCAACTCACACACCACTCACCCACCACTCGCCCACCCACTCACCCGTCCCCGTGTCCTGCAGTGCATCGGGCGGCTGAAGCAGCTGACCTACCTGGACGTGTCCAAGAACAACCTGGAGGAGGTGGAGCCGGGAATCTGCGGCTGCCAGAGAGCTCAGCGACCTCCTCCTCTCCTCCAACATCCTCCAGCAGCTGCCGCTCAACCTCGGCACGTGGAGACGTCACCACCATCGCTACACCCACCACAATCATCACCACCACGACCACTATCATCGCTACCACCACCACCGCTACCCACCACCACCGCTACCACCACCATCGCTACCATCGCTACCACCACCATCGCTACCATCACTACCACCACCATCGCTACCACCACCATCGTTACCACCACCATCGCTACACCCACCACAATCATCACCACCACGACCACTATCATCGCTACCACCACCACCGCTACCACCACCACCGCTACCACCACCATCGCTACCATCGCTACCACCACCACCATCGCTACCACTACCACCACCATCGCTACCACCACCATCGCTACCACCACCATCGCTACCACCACCATCGCTACCACGACCACTATCACCACCACCACAACATCATCACCACCACCACCACTACCACAACCACCACCATCGCTACCACCACCACCACCACTACCGCAACCACCACCATCGCTACCACCACAATCGTTACCCCCACCACCATCGCTACCACCACCACCATCGCTACCAACACCACCACCACTACCGCAACCACCACCACCATCGCTACCCCCACCATAACCATCATCACCACCACCACCACCACCACAACCATCACCACCACCACAACCATCATCACCACCACGACCACCATCACTACCACCACCATCGCTACCACCACCATCGCTACCACCACCACCACTCGCTACCCCCACCACACCATCATCACCACCATCACAACCATCGCTACCCCCACCGCAGCCATCGCTACCACCACCATCGCTACCACGACCAGCGCCACCACCACTACAACCATCATCACCACCACCAGCACAACCATCATCACCACCATCACAACCATCCCTACCGCCACCGCCATCACCACCACCACAACCATCGCTACCACCACCACCATCGCTACCACCACCACAACCATCATCACCACCACCAGCACAACCATCACCACCACCACCACAACCATCGCTACCTCCACCACCATCGCTACCACCATCACCACCA